TCACCATCCCTTCCTCGGATCAAGACTTTAGCAAAGCAGTTTTTAACTCAGGACTACATGATATGGGATACCAAGGACCAGACTTCACCTGGTATAGAAGATCCTGTGCAGTTCGTCTTGATCGCTGCTTATGCAATGATAAATGGCTTCTATCCTATCCCGATACGCTGGTTTATCATCTCATTCGGATGAAGTCCGATCACAGGCCTCTTTTGCTAACTATTGGTAAAAATCCTAATAGACTGCAACAACGCCTCTTCCGTTACTTTGCTGGTTGGACCCTTCACAAAGACTTTCATAAGTTTGTGAATGATAATTGGGATTCCTCTCTCTCAATAATGGATGTTATCTCCAAGTTTACTGTCGCTGCTAATAATTGAAATAACTCTATTTTTGGTCAGCTCTCACATCGGAAGCACAATGTTATGGCTCGACTCAAGGGCATCCAACGCTATCTCGATAAAAATCGAAGTTCCTACCTGTCCAGGCTCGAGACTAAACTTCAAACTAAGCTGGAATTAATCCTCGATCAGGAAGAAATCATATAGAAACAAAAATCTCGATCGGACTGGATTAACTTTGGCGATAGGAATACGGCTTACTTCCATAAAAAAGCCATTATTAACAAAAGGATTAACCGAATTTACTCTCTCCAAATTTCCACTGGTGATTGGTGTTCAGACACGAATGTTCTTCGGCAAGAAGCCAATGCTTACTTCCAGAAATTATTTTCCCTTGATGATGAGGTGAATGAAACTTTTCCCATCTCTGGTCTATTCCCTATCCTTCCTACTGAAGATTTGCAAAATCTATACTCTATTCCAACTCCCATGGAAATAAAGGAAGTCTTATTTGCTATGGCTCCTCTCAAATCCCCGGGAGTAGATGGGTTACATTCACATTTCTATCAAAAACATTGGGACATTATTGGCGCTTCGGTTTTCTCTACGATCCAAGATATTTTCTCCGGAAGCAACATTGAGCCTTCCTTGAACAAAACAATTCTTGCTCTCATTCCTAAAGTTCCAAGTCCTTCTAGTTTCAAAGACTTTCGACCCATCAGCCTTTGCACTGTTTTATATAAGCTGATCACCAAGATCATTATCAGACGCCTTCAACACAATATGCCTAAACTTGTTGCTCCTAACCAAACAAGTTTTATTCAGGGTCGTAGCATCTCAAAGAATGTCATCATTAACCAGGAAGTCATTCACTCCATGAAACATAAGAAAGATAAATATGGATGGATGACTATTAAGGTGGACTTGGAGAAGGTATTTGATCATTTACGTTGGGACTTTATAGCTGATACTCTGTATGAAGCAGGCTTTCCCCCTACAATCACCGACTCATATTGCTTTGTATATCATCCTCTACGATGCAAATCCAATTCAATGGAGACCTTAGTTTTGAATTTCAACCGCAACGTGGAGTTCGGCAAGGGGATCCAATCTCTCCTTACCTTTTCGTTCTTACTATGGAAAGACTAGGTCACCGTATTCAGCTTGCTTCTGAAAGAGGTGATTGGAAATTGTTCAAGCTTGTACGGGGTGGCCTTCCTATCAGTCATCTATTCTTTGCGGATAACCTAATCCTATATGCCAAGGCAACTACTGATCAAGCAATATTGATTGACAATATTCTAGCAGAATTTGGCCACTATTCTGGTCACAAAGTAAACAAACTAAAATCTCATATTTACTTCTCGCCAAATACTAGTGCTGACTCAGCAAATTCAGTATGTTCTCATCTTGGCATCAAGCAAGTCTCTAACTTGGGTGTTTATCTCGGAATGTCGGTGATGCATAAGCGTGCCACTTGTGAATTCTATGCCTTTATAGTTGACAAAATTAAATCGAAGCTCCAATGGTGGTCGGCTCGATCCCTCTCTTTTACTGGTCGGGTTACTCTTGCTAAATCCGTTCTTATGGCCATTCCCACACCTATTCATGCAAACTTGTTGGTTCCCTTCCAAAGTTTGTCACGACATTGAAAAAATCGTTCGACACTTCATATGGACTTCTAACGACCAATCTCGTGGCATTCCTATTGTTAGTTGGGACACCTTATCTCAACCTAGACACAATGGAGGTCTCGGTATCAGGAGGTTACATCAACATAATTCGGCCTTCCTAATGAAGCTTTGTTTTGCAGTTGCTTCGAACACAGAGACATACTTCATAAAATTACTTCGACAAAAATATAAGGTGACATCTATGTGCCCACCTTCCATCATGCGGCTGAATTGCTCTCATTTGTGGAGGTCTCTATCCAAGGTATATGATAATTTCCATAGTTTCATCTCTTGGTCCGTAGGTGATGGTGCTTCTACAAGATTTTGGCACGATAATTGGCTGCCGAAACTTGGACGTCTCTCTAACTGGAAGCAAGAGAGCATCACTATTGAAGACAACTTGATGGTTTGTGATGTTTCCCAATCAAACAGTAGCTGGAACTGGAACTTCATTTGGCAGACTCTTCAGCCTTCCACATTCCAACATATTTTGAATATCCAGCCCCCTAATCCCAATGCTGTCACTGATAGTTGTTCCTGGTTTCACGGCAAGAATGGTGAATTCTCCGTGAAATCCGCTTATAACCTTATTACTAAAGAACTTTGGAATCCTAGAGACGTTAAATGGATTAAGCTCTGTCGTCTTCCTATCCCGGAGCGTATCAAGCACTTTCTTTGGATTTCCTATCGAGATCGATTACTAACGAATGTCAATTGATGTGCGCGTAACCTTATCGATGATCCTCTATGTCAAATATGCGGATCAGCTAATGAAACTTTGTTGCATGTGTTGCGAGATTGCAAACAAACTGCTTCTCTTTGGCAATTGATCATTCGATAGCAGCAACTTCAGGATTTCTTCACTCTAGGAACTAATGAATGGCTTATGATGAATCTTGATTCCAATCGACTTTTTGCAGGTTCAAAAATCCCTTGGAAAACTTTATTTGCTTCCATAGCGTGGCAGATCTGGAAGCGAAGAAATTCATCCATATTCTCCAATCTGTCCCTCTCTAATGATCAATTACTCAACCACAACAAAAACTGGGCTAATTATTTCATCACTACGACGTCTGGTTTCTCGACCGGTACTGCTTTTCCTCGCCCGGAACTTATTCAATGGCGACCAGCGCCTGCTGGCTGGTTTACGCTCAACACGGATGGTGCAGTTCATCATACTTCCTCTCTAGGATCGGCAGGTGGCATCATCCGGAACAAGGATGGAGATTGGATCGTCAGATTTAATAAAGCGATTGGTATTTCCTCCCCATTTCAAGCTGAACTCTGGGAGATTCTTAAAGGACTTCAATTAGCGTGGTCCCAATGACTCGAGCACCTCCAATGCCAAACGGACTGTGCGAAAGCTCTAACACTTGTAACTTCTTCAACAGCCGCATCCAACCCAGTGCCTATTGTCAGATCTATCACGAGCCTTATTTCAAAACAATGGAAGGTTGATTTCATTCTCATACGTCGTGAAGCCAACGCTGCATCAGACTTCCTTGCAAAATCTATCGTCGTTTCAAATGATCAACCATGCATATACATTGAACCTCCCTAGGAGATAATACCTCATCTTGCTCGAGACCTTCATGGTCCTGCTTTTACTCGCTCCTAGTATTTCATTGTAATAGTCTTCCTTTAATTCAAAAAAAAAGTAAAATTAAAAGTTATTTTTAATAAGTAACTTCTTTCGAAAGTCTTTTAATAAGGAAATATATTCAATAATAAAAAGATAATAATAAATTTCAATTAAAACAAAAAAGGGAAGGATTTTCATACATGTGAGTAACTGTTAAGAAATGCTTCAAAAAGAGTATTGTAATACACTCATCTTACATACTTATGTACATTCATATGCTGAATATCTACATATATTATAATAAGTTAATGTTTTTATTAAATAAATATATATTATTATAACATTGTAATATAATATTACAAAATAACTAAAAGCTACAATTATGAAGTGTTTAATGGTTTAACACAACTATACAATTATTTTATTATTCTATTTAGAATTATTTATTAAATAATTTTAATAAATATATTTTCCTCTTATTCACATCGTATGTATGGCGTGATCTATATATTATTAATGAATTAAAAAGTTAAAATTTTGATACTTTTTTCGTGCTTAAATTTAAATTTTAAAATTTAAATTTTGATGTAAATTTATAAACCTTTATAATATTATTAGTTAGTCTGAATAAGTAACATAATTGTTAATGTTATTTTTTTAGAAACATTTTTAACACACACATGTACATATATGTTAGCATGAATAATTGAAACAATTAATTTATAAGAAAAAGATCACATAAGCATTCTGCCGGTGCTAATTATTTATATTGATTAATGATATTATAGAATTTAAAAAAATAATGAAATTAAAATATTATGGTTAATTTAAAATTCAGTACGTTAAGAGAACTAAAACCATAAATTAATCTAAAATTAATAATGAAAAATAAACTTTAGAGGTAAACTGTTGATAAACCACTTAATAATTTCACATGCATTCTAGTATATATTTTAAGTTTTTTTAATAATCATAAATAATTTTACATAATATATAAAACTAAATTAATTCTTAAATTAAATCCAACCATTAAATAATTTTTTTACCATAATCGAGTACTTAGATAGTAATTTATTACATGTAACAGAATTCTTTATCAAAATGTTTATAAAAACAATAAAAACATTATTATTAAGTATAAAATTATTTAATGAGTTTAGATGTTAAATTGTTTAAATAGCATTTAAAATATAAAATTTATTTAAAAAAAAGTTGAATTGAGTTTGTTAGTTGCAAAGTAGATCACATTATTTTCCACCAAACAAAAAGCAGGGCATTCAGCAAAAGGGTAAGCGACGGAGAGCAATTTAGGCTGAGCCACGCATACCATTGCCTTGGGCTCCCCCTTTTGTCCTTGTGAAAACAATCCCACTTCCACTTCCACTTGAAGCCAAACAAAGATAGATGGGTTTGGCAGCAGTTAAAGGAGGATCCAATACCAGCAACGGCAACAAAGAAAGCAAAGGAATGAGTTTACTCTTGGTGTTCTTCCATGGCGGAGGAGACCAAAACAAAATCACCACCAATTCCTCCTTTGATAACCAAAACACTACCACACCCAGAAGATTCATTAAAAGAACAAGCACTTCCACTCTCCTTTCCTCCAAAGCTCAGTCCACCATTTCGATTTGCCTTCTCTTACTCTTACTCACTCTTCTACTCTTTACTCTCTCTACTTTTGAACCTTCCCCCACCATCAAAAACCCTCGTCGAATCTTGTCCCAGAATACCCAATTTACTCCTCCTCCTTTTAAAAGCTTCTTTCCGATGTGGGATTATAAGTCACTGAATGTCAAGCAAAAACCCAGTGTTTTTCCCTCTTCGTTCGCTTTGCAGAGAATGGGAACTTTGTATAGACGTGGGACGAAAGCCATGAACGATCTTATAGTCAGCCATGTTGTTGAAGATTTTACTGAAGATGAACTCAGGCTTTTCTTAAGAGTCTTGCATAGGTCTGGTATCACTTCAAAAGCCGACATTGTTTTTCTTTTTGCTTCTCCTTTTCTATCTTCGAGATTCAGCTTTGTTATACATGAAGAGAACGAGTCGTTCTTGAAACTCATTCAACACCACGTAGAGTCTAATAACAAGGGGTCCCGTGACTCGGTGCTCGGTTTTGACTCGACCCAGTTTTGGAAATATGGGAAGAAAGATGTTGGGGAGACGGAGACTATTTGGGGAAAGAAGGGGAGCCGAGGGAATTCTTGCAATTCGACTGCAGCTGAAAGCGAGTCAACGCGTTTGACTTACGGCTCGGTTGTGGGATTCGATGTGAACGAGTTGGATCCAGAGAACTCGCTGGCTGGGTTTTTAGATCACGTTTCGATGAGTTTCAGAAGATGGGCATGTTATCCAATGTTATTAGGAAGAATCAGGCGAAATTTTAAGCATATAATGTTGTTGGATGTTAAAAGCTTGTTGCTACTGAGTGACCCACTCGACAGTGTCAGGAATCGGAGTCCCGAGTCTGTTTATTTACTAACAAAGGAAAGCGGCTCCGGCAAGCATGGCAAGAGGAACTCGGATAAAACTAAGTCTCACTCTCAAATAAACTCAGCGATTTTGATGGGCGGGGCTAGAGGAATTCGGAGGTTAGCCAATGCAATGTTGACGGAGATCGTTAGAGCTGCAATGCAGCATAAGAAGAAGAAGAAGGATTCGATATCCGAGTCAGAAATCTTGAGTCAACTCGTCGGCACTGGACATGTATTGAAGAATGTTGATTTGATCACATCGACCGAGTCAATTCAGGAAGCGAGCTCACTCACGGGTTCGAAGTTCAACTCAGCTGGATCAGATTATTCAATAATCCAACGCGGTAATAGTAATCATGATCTTAATTCCGTAATTATGCAGCTAATATGTTTACGTGAAACAAATTCTTATGTTTATAGGGATTGTTAGTGAAAAATATATGTTGTAGCCTTTAGAAAATAAATATATATATTACTTTATGTTTTAAAATGTATATAATTTTAGATTATAGGGATTTATTTAAGAACAAATAAAGAATGATCAAGCTTCTACCTTTTTGTTGTCAACATTTTCTAATTGTGAATTCATTCGGTGTGTTATTACGTATCGTGTTTAAAACTATAATTAATAAAATCATATATATTTTTGAAACAAATATAAATCATATATTTTAAATTCAATCAAAGTGTTTAAATGATATTAAATAAATTTGGATCAATTTTTTCTCTAGATTTCAAGATTTTGTAAAACTGTAGGGATTATGTTATATATATAAAAACTAAAACTTAAGATCTACTTAAATAAAATCAAATTGATTATCAAATTACTTACTATTTGAATTTATATTTATACACGCTGAATTCATAATATAAATTATATTTATATTACTCCTATAAATTTGGTATATATAATTTGTAGTAATAATGAAAGATGTATGGTTGAAACTGTCTGGTCGGTATGAGACAAGAAATAAAGGGTTAAAAATATTTTATTTTAGGAATTTTCGCGCAGCTGATTGAATAGCGGCTTCTAGAATCATACTAGCAAGCAACGGTGTCGTTTTCATTCACGTTGTCATATGCATCGTAAATTTGTTCACAAAAGAAAGAAAAAGAATCCCCACACAGGTCAGCGAGGAGTAAAACTTTTCTTATAATTTAATTGATTAATTGGATTTTAAATGTGTTTATAAATGTTATAAAATATTATTTTAATTCTAATAGATATTAATTTTCAAGGAAAAAATCGTTTGTTCTCATGAAAATTTGTATTTATGTTTTATATCTTGTATAATATAATATATACATGATTTAATTTAATTATTTTTATATGAAAATACCAGCGTACAATAAGCAATCATTGTACTATACAATTTCCACACTAAATGAGGGGTCAACAACGACAATGATACTTTTCATTGTTTTATTTTACTGATTTGATCCCATGATGAAAATTCTTTATTTCCCCCACATTATCCCAAAGTAAACAGAATTAAAGAAGAAAAAAACTTTATCGTACAGCTTTTATAGGCAATCGTATTTCCTATATAAATCTCAAAAGAATATTTATAATGCACATTATGTTCCCAAACACACAATTTCTTACGTACACACATGAAAGCAAATTGATTTGGATAGTATTATGATATGAATTTTCCATACAACATATCTATTTATTCTCATATATTGTTTGTAGTATATATTTGTTCAACTATTATATCTTAAAGAGAATAATGATAAAGTATAGAATTCAAACTATATTATAAAAAATATTTTTAACCACATGCCAGGGATTGGTATTCCCAATCAGATTTCTTCCTTTTTTTTTAACAATATCAATGTGACAATTAAAAGTTGGAATTCATAAATACTGGATTTCTAGTTAAAAGAGAGTTCTGACATTAAATCTTCGCCGCCTGCACTGACTTACGGCGAAGAAGTTACTAGGAAGGAGAGAAGAAGGTGCAGCATTTGAAATAATAATAATAATAGGTTTGCTAAAAAGGAACGGAGACATTGAGCGTCACATACAGGTGAAATTACCAAAAGCCAATCGCACCGACACCCTTTAGCCTGACACGTGTCCCATTCACACATGAAAATTTATACCCAGCTTTTCGGGTTAATCTCATGGCCAGTACTGTTTATACCCATCGTGTCATGTCTGAATTATTAATTAGATTTAACATACTTATATGTAAATACGCATGTCTGGATTATTAATTAGATTAAAATTTATTTTTACATTTAATCATAAAGTATTAAAAGATTAAAGATAAATATATATATATATATATTAATATCAAGTGCACTAAAATTTAGAACACATTAAAATTTTAACTAAATTATGAAAAAGCGATTGAAAATAGAAAGTTGAAGTGTTTATATGGATGGACTACCATGTTGAGATGTTACCGTGTGTGCACAATTGGGATGGGGGGGGGGGCACAAAGAGAGAGAGAAAATTCAAAGCTCAAGTACGGAAATTGCTGCTCTAGGGGATTTAATGTACCAATGCTAGCTGTAAAATTGCAAATATTACAGAATATAAAAAGAAGGGAAATGATCTCCCTTAAAAACGTGAAATTCTGGTTTATAGGATACTCCATGTTTTTTTGGACCACACCATTCATTCATGTTAAGCCGAACCTTGTTTTAGGTGAATTATATTTGCTGTCTGTCCTTGTAGTTTAATTGCTAATACAGTACAAGAGACTATCTAGTACGGGCAACAGACCAACACTCATATCTTGGCATTGGACATACACTCTACTTTAGGTATAATAATTTATATAAATTCACTTATAACAAAATAAACGATTCACAACTGGATATTTTAAAAATATCATTTTATGTTATGTTTTTCTAATAATAATAAAACAATGTGAATGAAGTTTGAATAATGAAATTATAATATTAAATCGAATTCAAACAAATATATTAGATATTGATACTCCAAAAATGTGAACGGTTCACTCGTAGGGGCTACTTAGGATTACAGGCTCACATGAGAAAGCAAATGAATATTAGGATAACATTATTATTATTATTATTACAGGATTAATTCACAAGACATCCTTGTACCCTACAAAAAAAACCCCAAGACATCCCTAAATCATGTGCAAATTTAAATTTTATTTTAATTAAATTATCAAGTTAAAGTATAGTTTAATCATGTTATTATATTAATTTAAGGGTAAAATACATAAATGGTCCTGTGACTATATAATATTGTTTTATTAAGTTAATTGACTATTAAAAGCTACAAACTGATTTTCTGGCTATGAAATGTTAATTTGTTAAGTATTCGACTATTAAAAGTTATAAATTGGTCATCCGACTATTGATCATTTTCTAAACTCGTAATTTTTTCGTTAAAAATTGATGATTGTCTAAGCTCGATGTTAACATAATAAATGAATATGATAGTCGTTCATTCTTTTGAGATTCTAAGATTATATTTTATCATATCACAATTAACAGATTAATGTTTAACTCAGAATATAGTCAAATTTTAACGAAAAATGACGAGTTTGGAACATAATGAATAGTCGAGTGGTCATTTTATAACTTTTAATAGTTGAGAGACTCAATGAAGCAACACTCTATAGTTAAAGAATCATTTTATAACTTTTAATAGTTAAAAAAACTTAATAAAATAATATCTTATAGTCGGATGAACATTTATATACTTTACTCTTAATTTAAATGTCATTCACCATTACTCGTTATTTATATTATTAAATGTTAATCTAATGTACTAAGTTTTTTTAAACATAAGATAGTTGATAAATATCTTTTAAATATGTCAAATTTAATTAATTAATCTTTCAAGTTTAACTTATAACTTAAGAATATATAGCAAAGTTAATCATAAAATTATTAACATACTAAATGTTAATTTTTTGTGATTTTTTAAATTTGGATATTACAACATACATAAAAACAATACATGTTTTTCATTCAAAAAATCTAGTTTTCTCTTATTGGTGTGCTGCTCGTCTCTTTTCTTTTTTTTTTTATCTTTATTGATCGACGATGACACTAATTTAAATGTTGATTGTCGATCATCGATATTCTTTAGTCTTTTTCTTTTCTCATATCATATCTCTATTTTTTTTAGTTTTTGATTTTCAATAAGTGTTCTTGTATGATGTGTAACGCCCTGAATCCCGGGTTAGTAGTTCGGGTCAATCCGAAGCCCAAAGTTGAACCATTGGATCTTATTATATTTGTTAGACCAAGTTGTTGTCAGTGGGCTTAAGTTAGGACCCAAGAGAGTTAATGAAGGGAGATGAGTAATTTATGATAACAAACATAAAGGGAATAAAAGTGTATTTTACCCATAGCTATTTTGGAAGCTGAAAATCCCTAATTATATTATGTTTTCACAGTGAACAACCCCCTTACACAACTCACCAAACACTCTTCCTATCTTCTCATCTTTCTCTCTTCTTTTATCTTTCTTTAAGTAAGAATCTCAAAGAAATTCAAGCCTAGTTGGATCCATCCAAGGTAAGATTATTAAACCTTATCCTTCTATATTCATTTTGAGCTCCATTTCACTAGTTTTTATCCATAGAACCAAAAACGGGTATTGAGAGATTTGTGGGAATCTATAAATTCTAACTAAGTTTTGAGTTATAGGGAGTTTGTTTAGATGTTATTCAACCCCTTGATGGATTGATAATCCATTTTCTCATTTTGTTTAGTGAAGGAGATAGGAGAAAGCTCAAGAGCTAAAGGAAAGGAAAAGTTGAATCTTGATTGAGTTGAGAAAGTTTCTAGCCATCCAAGAAGCAAGGTAACACCTTTACAACTCTTACATACTCCTACTGAGTCATTAGAAATTCAAAATAGTTTAAATGGTTGAGTTGAACATGATAAGCATTTTCATGGTGAAATTCTTGTTTTAGAGTTACAAAATGGGTTTAAAGCCTCTATTATGACCCTTGTTGATCAAATAAAACTTTAAGCATGTTTGGGGACCTCACTAAGGTCTTTGGGATTCAATTATAGCATTTTAGTATGTATTATACGATTTCTGCAGGTAAAGTATCGATACTATTGGGATAGTATCGATACTAGTTCTTCGTTTTGGGGAAATTCATGAGGTTCTGGGCAAAAGTATCGATACTCTTTCAATAGTATCAAAACTTTAGGTCATAGTTTTGAAACTCCCACAAATTTTCGAAACAAGGCAGAACAGAATGTTTAAAATATCGATACTTATATAAAGTATCGAAACTTTTGCAGTAGTATCGATACTATTGGGTTAGTATCGATACTTTCAATCTATTTTAGGCAAAAATGTCAGTTTTTAAGGGAATTAGACTCGAGGTACCCAACACTTCTTTTTATTGTCAAATATGACTGCAAGTGAGAATATTAATGATACTAATTACACTTAGAAACAAGATTTATTAGGATGACATAAAAATAGCCTTGGATGATGCTCAGGAAACGACCAGGACACCCGAGTTCCTTTAGAAAATGCTAGCTTATCGAAAGTATAGATTCAATTCAGATATATCCTTAGGTATGGCGAAGTCCCTTCTGACTAACTATGTTTGTCGAGGCCTTAACACTCTTTAGAAGAAATGGTGGGATAGTTGTATGGTTTCCGATGCAGAGAATTCTGGGGTCATATCTAGAGTAGACTAGAAGGATGTGTAGCTCCGAGATGCAAAACCCTTAGTCGCACCATGATGTATACCATAGTGTATAGAGTGAGTATTCAATAATACTCACTAAAGCATTTTTAAAGCAGGCTAGCTTGGGCGCAAGGTCCAACACTCAAAGAGTGGGCTAATAGAACAAAATATATTGTAGAACAGATAGTAGTAGACTTGGTAGGCTGAGCATGTCATGAACGCTTTTAGTATGACTTAGTTGTTACTGTGGCGCTGGGCTAATTAGCTCAGCGTTTGAAATTTGTTTCCTTAAATAGGTTAGTCGATGAGCAGTCCGATGACTTTTTGACAGCAGTGATTCAAACCCAGTTAGTGCATAGTACGTCTCGAGTTCATCTTTAGAAGGCATGTATATTTGTAAACCCCTATTTGTATATTTTTGTATGAGTTGTAACTCATTTTAAACTATGGTTTGTATGATTTAAACATTATTTTGGGAGCTCCTAATGTAAACTATTTTATTTAAATTGTAGTTGATTATTTTAGCATGAGTGATAACAAATGGTAATTTTAAAAGAAAAAAAATAGTTAGCCACTCCGGTGGTTCCGTGTGACATTCTGATCGGTCGACTTTGTGTCGTACTGATTTAGGGTGTTACATGACATGTTTTCATCTATCTCTATGATATGTTTTCTTCTGCTTTTATGACATGTTTTCTTATGCCTTTTGGCATGTTTTATGTTGTTTGGTCATTTTTTATTTATCTTTTCTAAGAGCCAATTTGACATCGCCACGACTGATCAAGATGTTGCTTATTTGATATCTTGTTGATCTTCCCTGCTTTGGACCCTCATATTGGATTTGAATACCTGATTTGCGTTCATAGATAGCTTTTCACGTCGCTCGAGTCTGATTTGAGATTTGTCGATGTTCTTTCAATAGCTTGACCCCTTTTTTTGGTTCATTTGCCGATGCAATCATATATGTTTGTATCTATCTTTGTTCGAGTTTTTTTAGTTAGATTTTTAATATTTTCTTGTATGATCCTTATGTGATATTAAATTACTAGTTTGTTTCAATGATTATAAGAAATTGTCCTAATTATGTGACTAAATTTACTATTAAGATTATAAATGTTTATTGTAATTTGGGATAATTTCTATTTAAAATAAAATTAATTGATTCTATAAAAAAATTGTGATTTTTTTATTAATCTAAGATAAGTATAAAACAATATCTGTTTAAAGATAACTCTCAATCTCTTTGCAATAATGCTGACACAATTCCTTTACCAATTTGCGATTTTTTTTATGTTCAAGATTCAAGGTTAACCATCTCATTAAGGTGATTTCAAATTTAATTTAATTTTTTATTGAAAGCATATTACGCGCATGTTGGTGCTCCTTGTTTTAACTATTAAAGTATCATTTGCACATTAGAGGCCTAATTACATGCTATGTGACAACTCATTTCCCTTTTATATTAGGGTTGATGAAAAATTGATTGTTGATTAATCTTCAATTCTTTTATGTCTGGCTCCATATGTTCCACTTAAATTAAACCAAGGAAATTATGTCAAAATTTGACATGGTTTAAAGTAATAATTATTAAACGTAGACAAAAAAATATGTTTAAAAGTACAATCTTAGTTCGATTTAAGTTTTATAAATTATTATTTATATAATATCGTTTTATGTTTACTTACATATCATATAAATAACAGAATATATATTTATTTGAAGATATTCGTCATCGTTGGTAATAAACGCTTTTGTTTCTTTTAAACTCCGGTTTGATGATGACTCTTGTTCTTTGATTTTTCTGCTTTCATTTTGTTTTTCATTAATAATATTTAATAAAAAAGGGTTAAATCTTCTAACACCCGATTTATTATACATGACTGATAGTTTTATGTGCATACCATACTCTTAAATATCACTAGATCCGTAATTATTGGAAACAAATTTCATTAGCCATGCCATCTGTCTTCTCATATTTGCTTTAGCTGCATTCTCATATAAATTTAATAATTGTATTTTTATTACTAATTATTCAAATTTAGATATAGTGTTAAATTGTTGCATAATTATATAATATATTAATATTCTATACATTATACGTTGAAACTTAAATTCTAAAACTATAAATACCTTTTTTGAAAATAATTATAAAGATCAATTTAATTATATTTTATCTATTTATTTTTATAGTGTGAGTATACTACACTTGTATATTCTTCAGCTTCAAAATTATTAATCTAATTCAACTTGATTAAGGGTTATGCGACCAATATTTTTTTTCAGCAAAATCGACTTTAGAATCTTAGGTCGAGACACATGATGGAATAATTTTTATTTTATTTAAAGTGGAGGATTACATCAAATAAAATAATAGCCGAAATAAAATGTATTTTTTTATGTTAAATAAGGGTGTAGTGGAGGAGACCAAGGAATTTGCATGTGAAATGATGATTACTATTAATGTATTAAATAATAAACTCAGAATTTTTCCAATACCAAAAAAAAAAATCTCAACTGAAGTAAAAAGCATATATAGTTTAAACATTTATTTTATAATAAAGACCTATCAAGGATTAATGTTCAATTAAGTTAAGTGATTAACCAAAAAAATGAGATGGAATATATTGCAAACAAAGCAAAGAATGTTGTTGACCTGCAAAAAATAACATATATGGTAATGGTAATCCATGCAACATTACACGTACGTTAATCAGAAAGGAAAAACAGACAAAAATGGTATTCCAGGCGGAATTGGTAGTAAGACTGCAATGGAAGCACTTAAATCACTTGCATGAAGCTCTAGAATAGATCGACTTCCTTCTTCTTAGAGTCTTGCTTCCACTTTGGCATTTTGGAAAATGCTTCTTTCGTCATCCCGAACACCGTCTCGAATTCCTCGGCGGACAAATAAGCCTGACAAGTCGTATACAAAAGGTTAAGAACACCGATATGATTTCGATCGAGTGAGCTTTGAAACATTGATTGCGGGACAAACCTCTCTACGTTTGAAGTCGATTTCGGTTACAGGATTTTCGGACTTGGACTTCAGTTGATCGTAACTGTATGTACATTTTTCACCCACATCCTCACCGGGGTTGTGTTCCGAATCATCCCCATTGTTTTCGCCTGTCTCGGCTACAGCTATCTCTTGAGAATCAGGTACTTCGGAAGGATCCAGTTGGCCTTTTTGCCTCAGCTGTACAAATCAGATTCAGTGTATTATATGCAATAACAGTATGCGTATTTTACTACGACACTTGTGCACGTGGGTACTTACAAGGAGGGCTGGTTACTGCAGGAGTGTTGCTAGTGGATCCGTCGGGCGTCTTTATCTCTGCCATAAGCACAGAGGAGAGAGCAGCTACAGCTGCTGCTCGTTGCGATCCCTGACCTGTGCTGGCAGGCTTTGGAGCTGAGGTTTTGGTTTCTGATGATGGATTAAATGCAGTGGTTAAGGCAGCTAAAGCTTCAGCTCTTTGCCTAGGTCCTTGACTTCCATCACCAGATTTATCCTGCGCTAATAAGCAATCTAAATGAATCCTTTGAATTCTCAAAATACACATCACTTCTTCCATGATCATTGTGTGAAAACAACAACACATTATGATATGAAGCTTGAGGAAATGTCTGCGAAAACAAAAGGAATAGATAATTGGGCACATCCGGTGACATACAACAAAAGGGTCAAATGGACTACCTCTGCATAACTAATCTTCGAACCAATCGGAAAGAGGGGAAACAAAATGCATTATCAAGCTGATGTTAACTGAAAAGAGGGGAAAACAGAAATACTTTTCTGAAATGAAAGCCCTCGACTCTCATTGAACTTTCCATTCGATTTTTACAATCCAAGTTTATCCTTATGCTAAACAGAAACTTAGTATACCAAAAAGAAATTACCTCTGCATGGGTGGTAGTCCCAAAGAGCAATGCCACCTTCTTCTGGAACGAGTTTCCTAGCAGCTGTGTTCCATAGATAACATGTAAGCATAAATATCAAACAGATGCAATGCGTGCAATACACATGAAAGGATGAACCATATCATACAAAGAACAGTAACTCTTAGAGAAAACAACAGGGCACTTCATAAAATTTTCGGTGCATGCATACAATTAACAGTAACTGATTCTTTTTCGCCACACTATGAGTGCCAACAACAGGGTAATGGTTGTTTCATCCAAAATACAGGATGCTCTAAATGGGTCGATCCCTATAGTTCAGTTTTTGGAAGTATTAAATGGTACTTTCCTTAAAACAAGTGCACCATGCTAATCAATTCTCTGAACCATATACCATAACTATCCTAGTTTTGACCCTTTCGGTGCAGACAAGAAATTCTTGAATCCGGGGTTACAGGTATAATTATCTCATAGAGGCTCTCCAAACATGCACTCAAACATTTCCTCATCTAGAACACAATTTCATTGATTAAAAGCATATGGATTGCATTTCATCTATGTTCATCGGTTCATCCGATTTTATGTAGATAAAATGAGAGTATAACTTCAATTTTGCTGCTGAAAATGAGAGCGATCTAGCATTAATTGAAGTGACACCAAGATAAAGTATAAAAATCAAGTCAAGGAACGTACAATAGCTCGATGAGAATCCCACGAAAAGAATACAGTGAAGAAGCAGGGTTCATTTCCTTCACCAACTTTGAAAAGTGCAACCTTTGGAGACAAACCCTCTAGAGATACTGCCCTGTCAATGTATTTCTGCATGGAATTTTCTAAAATGAACAACGAACATATAAAAAGGATAATGCGACGAAGAACTCGAAGTTTATGCATTACCTGTCCAATTTCGAATGCACTTCGTTTTTCTTTGGTGTCGACACATTGACCGACCCAAACAAACACTTCAGCATGTGTGTCTAGTACCAGAATATCTTCAGTCAAGAGATCATCTTGAGAGAAATTGTAAATTTCCTCAACCTGCATAATCGAATGTAAAATTACATATAGAGGACATTGGATATATTAAGAACAAGTTTTCAATTACAGAAGGAAAAACTCACCTCAAGCTTTCCTGACGCATCCTCACCGAAAAATATTGAACCATGGAAAAACAGTTAGAATGGTAAGAAACTACATTAATAACAGAGGGCCAAGCAAATCACATTTTTGGTTAAGAAATACACCTTTATTAAGAGAGACAGTGAAAAGGTGGGGATCCCTGACAGTCTCATCAGGTTCTTTTTTGGTGGAGGAATAACTTTCTTTCTCCCCAAGTGCAGACCAGAAGGCAGAAACCTCTGCTCCTTCTTTACAATGTTTCCGAGTAACTCCCGGCTGAATGCAAATATGATTCGATGATCAATTCGCATGAGGGAAGGAAATTTTCAAAGGACTATAACCATTAGATAAGAATTAAAGCACACCATGCTTGATGCAACATAGGCATATGTTCCTGTGGTGACATTCTTCAGTATTATTGATTAATTGGTCAACTCAAATTATTGGAACTTAGATTTTAAACTGTAACTATATCAAGTTATTACCAAGCTTCTCAATAAACCTATGTTCTTTAATCTTGTGTAACAAGAAATCCAAAAGTAAATAACTTTCCGTATGGTATACCTTTAAAGATTCAGCAACTTTCGCTGCCAATTCCTGGTGTTCTTTAGAGCTTTGAGTTCCGTACCAAGTAAAAATTGTTGAAGATCCAGATTGCAGGAGGAAACACTCAGTGGAATTTAACGATGTTGCCACCTAAAAAATGGTTACAAAGCCAAGAATACAGACATCCAGCCGTATACATGTTAGGTTACAAAAGGAATAGGTAGTCATACAGCACACATCATAACGAAAAACAGCGGGAATTCAGACATCACAACACATTTGATGTCCGGTAAAAGTAGCTCGTACCTCACTACAAGTAAAATAATGGAGAGATTATTAAAATTTCAACTTGGAAAACGTGTTGCATCAAATAAGATTGTACAGTCAATGGCGGCAACAGGAAATGTTTGGGTCTAAAAATACTAGGATGCAATACAAAATTAAAGTACTTGTTTGCATGTATGTTTTTTTTGTTGGAAAAATACATTTTCACTCATTGGAAAATCAAATCAACCAAAGAAAGCTTAAAAGGAAAAAGTGACAAAATAACCAACTAATGCATACCGCGTTAACTTGCAGTGCTTTACTATCCTGCACAGAAGTTCCAGCTATCTGAAACAGAGCAACGGAATCTTCTGTGTATGTTTCATCACTCAAGCCTTTGCCTTCTATACTCTTTTTGTAACCAGCGCTTAGACCACCCTAGATGGGAATCAGCCATATGAAAATTGATATCTTCCAATTTCAAAACAAAAGTTCCTCATGCAATGAAACATTGATAATGAGATTCTAAAAGTTTGAGGTCAACTTTCATACCTTAAGGACCACTATAGGTTGAAAAAGTGCAATGAATTGTGGTGGCTCTTTACCTTCAAATATACGACCCTGCAAGAAGAATCTATTAGAAACACAAGCATTACAGTAACAGTAATCAGCCAAAGGTAATATGATACCTGAACAGGCCTCCCCTTCAGTGAGTTAAATGTTGAATTAGCCAACTCGGAAGCCGTCTTTCGGTCCTCCTGAATTAAGAAACATATATACTTTTAGAAAACGGAATTTTTTAAGTAGTGACAACTGTCAGTGGAGCGAAGTGCATCAAGTTAACATGTGACTACATAAGCACAACTTTCCTCTTTGAAAGCAAATAATGGGTGGAAGCCATGAATGCAAAAATAATGAAAAGAGGGGATTTAGATTCAATGCAGTCGAATGAATTAGATACTGTCACCACTAAATGAGCTAGAAAGCAATTCTTGAAAATCAACATTTACAATGAAAGTGCAACGTATTGCAGACGAACAACTGAAAAGGTATATCATTTAAATTATCTTCTACTCAACTATGAGCAATGTAAATTACCTCAACGCTATCCTTTCCAATCCACCAGCAAAGAAAGAAATCTTCTTTCCTCTCACCTGAGTGGTATGTATAAAGCACAATGTAGCAGTCTCCACTATAGAATTTACCAGTATACTCTTTTTCCAGCAGCGTCTTGGCACCATCATTGACGCGCCATACCTGAAAAACAAGAAACACCGTTGTCATTTAGATTTTTGTTTGTAAGTCATATATCAATAACCAACTAAAACTATTAACATGACCTCCATCTTTCCACCGCCTTCAAGCAAAGGAACTTTTTCTAGTACAGGAGCAGTTTTAGCCACCACCGCCTTGACAGCAACTTTTTGTTGCTTCAGCAAAGCTGACAGTAAAAGAGTGGTATTCAAATAATGTAAACCACAAAATATAAGTGTCGATTTTAGATTCTTAAGTGATCCCTACCAGATACTTTTCCTTTTCCATCCTCACCACCAGGAGCTGTAGATGGAGCCGGCCAAGATTCAAAGTGGGACTTGAATGAATTGGTTTCATAACCTTGGCTGAGACGGGTTATGCGTGTTGATTTTGGTCTATTGAGGCTATCAACAAAGCCCTGGAGATAAAAGGCTGGGAATGAGAATTCATATTCTTGACATACATAAAGAAACCACTACCAGGACTCTAGCTCTACCTCGGCGACTTGATTGGCGGCTTTTCTCTCCTCTACCTGTGTCATCCGTCCAAACCAAACAAAAACCTCAGAACCACAGTCTAGTATAAAGCATTTGTTGTTTTCCAAGAGGCTTCTCTTTAGTTCACCTTCTATGAGCGTTGCCTTATCATTAGTTATGCTACAGGAACCAGTGATTCCAAATTATTAGTTAACAAAAACATAGACCTTTAAAAAAAATAGTAACATAAACTAATACTAACTCGAAATGATTTCAATCAGGAGTGTCTACTCACTTAAAATTCTCCTAAAGATATGGTCTATAGAAAACAAGTATCTAACCTAAGAAAAGTTCATCTATATTAACCATGATAATGGTGACCATAAGGACACTCTCAAACCTAACAATTAAAATAAACTTAATATGTATGTTATTATTGCCTATACTCACGAAGGCCTTTTAATGTTCTAACTATCATCTTCTCTCATTTTTCCCCAAAAAAAGAAGCAATTAATATAGAGTGTATATATTAAATTATTCTGGCCTTAATCTATAATGCTGCCTTATGATATTAATACTAGTCATAACATTCTCGAAAACACATTAAAGAATTTGATTTTAGATTTCTTGCACATAAAGATAATCGATATGGATTCCAAAGAACATCTACAAACATTTGGCATTGAACAGATTGGATAAAACTAAAGAATATATTTACAGTTTGAAATGAAAGCTGACAGTTTTAGAGTAGGCAACTTTTCAAATAACAAGGCTTCACACTTCCATTGGTTGAGAAAACAGGGTAAAAAATACTAGCCGGATTAGGATAGTTTGGTTTTAAGGATTGTTATACTGAAGGAAATATATTAAAAAGCGCTAGAGAAATATGAGGAAGCTTAAGGAATTCAATATCATAAAAAGAGTTACGAGTGTTGATCAGTCTTTGAGACCTCTAAACAGTTTCTAAGCACTAGCAGATTTACTTAATTTATATGACAATTTCCCTTGGGCAAGAAGTTGGGTCTACAACCCTATAGTAATCTGGTTACAATCACAACAAAACTGAAGTATCCTTACCAACATACATATGGAATACATAGAGAGTCAAAATTTTTAGAATATACAATTACCTGTAAAGTTTAGCCGGAGTAGTCTCGGGAATAATATCATCTTCATGGCTAACCTTCTTACCTAATGGAGCAAAACCACCAAACAGGACCCAGAACTCGCCGGAGTCAGACTCGGTATCCAATTTCCCATCATCTGTAAGGGTGATTACCATTTAAAAAAGTGGCAGCTTTAGATAGAGTAAGATAAGTAAACCTTGCACGAAATTCAAATAATACTTGCAGAGAAATAGAAAAGATGGAAACACATCATCATCAATCAACACTGTAAATGCATCTTCCGTACCAACAATTGCAACATTGCACACCCCATCATGATACTTTTCCTTTAGGAACTGGATAACTTCTAACGCCTTGGCCCTTTCCTGAATATTAGAGTTTGCACCATTGAACTGATAAATCTTTTTCTCTGTGTCCAGGATAAATACATCATCGTGATTCAGTGAAGACCGAGCAAAAGGAACCTGCAAGAGAATAATCCAAAATGGTATTTCCCTCATCCACAAAAGCCCCATTGAATAATTTATTACTAGTTCATGAAACTTTTTCTTTCTTTCTTCTTTGTATCCATACTAATCAAACTTATGTAAATATCATTAGATACCTGCTTCAATTTGACAACTCGTTTTCCTTTGCAGACATACAACCGTGTTTCAAACACTTCTTCCTCTGGTTTTTTGAATCCAGAAGCAACACCACCCTCCAATGGTACAATGCAAGGCTTAAAGTATGACAAAAATTTGTCAGTTTCATGGCCTTGAAGTTCCCTGTGCTGCACAGCACGGCCTCCTAGCGCTGCATCTAGCTCAACAGTTTTGATAGCAGCTGTTCCAGCTTCATCCTGCATACGACAACATTACCTCGACATGCTGTTTTAGTTCATTTGAAGGAACATTTAAATCATTAACAAAATAAGATAAGAAGATGCAGCAAAATCACACCTGACTGGTATCTTTCCCAATCCAGAAGTGTATGTCATACATATAAGAGCCACTCTTGCTATGTGAAGTCTACAAAAGTACATATAAAAAATCGAATAAAGCAGTGGTTCACTAGAAATGTATGTTATGTGGGTGGTAAAGGAGGGACAGGTGATTCTGTACATTTAAGACAACGTAAGAATCTCCCATGTAGAATTTTCCATAGTCGGACTTTGGCAACGGAACCGGCTGAAAATTCTCAATACGCCAGATTTCAAGCCCACTACAAAATGTCAAGTCCAACAGCCTTAACCCAAACAAAATATCAGGACATATATGGAACATAAGAACAGATTCAAAAAGAAGAAAAGATAATATGGCCTTATCTTCTTCTTTTTTTCACTTTTTCCTTTTTTCATTTGGTAATTGGAAAAGGCTTAGTGATTAATTTCAGTTCTCTTATGATCAAAAGACCAAAATATATCCGTATACTTGTATAAAATAATTAAAGACATATATATAAGGCCTTTGTTTTAAGGATACGCTTTCTGACCAACTCCCTGAAATGCAGGATCCAGAGCTTTTGCAGCGGCAGTCATGTTCTGCATCAAAATCCAACCTTTAGCAGTCTTTAAGTTGCAAAAAAACTTACTGGAGAAAATACAGGCATCAAATGATGGAAGGGAAAATTAAGTTACATTACAAAATAATAATAATAATAATTCAGGGAAAAAGCTAAAATTAGTTTGGTTCGTATAACAGCTCGTCTTTTCACAGTCTTCAGCAATAAGCCAATGTACGAAACAGTTACATGCTATCCTGATCCAAAAAAAGAAAGATAATCGAATTGGATGAGCCAAACAATCGCTCAGAACTTGAATAAAAGCTAATGCCTTCTTTAATCTCTAATGCTCACTGGTCACTGCTCAGTGGTTACAAGTTCTAACAAACAAATTAAATCATATCCCGTAGATGATGATGATATTAAATCTTCCCACACTTACGATAGAGTGTTTAAAAACGAAATATTTAACAAGCAGAAAACAGAGAAACATTATGATGGAACAATCCGAAAAATTGATATCAACATCATGCACATTCAGTTCCAAAAAACAATTAAGGAAAAAAAGAAGAAGAAACAAAACCCATTAAAACCGAGACAATATCAAGCGTAACCAGATCAACAAACATCAAAACAAACACGAAAAAAATGATATCCAGGTGATATATAACCCCCAAAAGGAAATGATCAAGGCAATGGCATTTTCCTTGATCAGAGCTGAGAAATAAAAAAACAAGCAGATGATGATCAAAGAAGAAGAAGACGAGAAGGGTACCTCTACGGTGCCAGGTCAGAGATACCTCTCTAAGAGTATAAGGACGAGAAGGGAAAGAGCTAAGAAGAGCTGACAAATCAAACGATAAGAAGGGAAATATAAGATGACAGTGATTTCTATATGCCTCTTTGTTACTGAAACTTTTTTGAGATTTACGAAATGAATGAATGAATGGAGAGGAAAGGAAAAACAGTTATATTAGCGAGTTTTGGGGCAAAGTAGTCGTTATAAAAAATGATCCGGTAACGATGGCTACGGCGCCATGTTATTTTGCGGCCTTTTCTTTCTCTTTTGCTTCCATTTTTTTTTATTTTTTTACTAATTTATTTTGCACTCTAAATTTCCCATAAAATAATTAAGAATTTCTTAATTTTATCATTCTATTGAAGTAAATATTTACACTCGATAAATTTTGAACTTCTTAAAGTTAATCTTTAATTTTAAGTTATATTTAAATTTGACATTTATAAATTATGAATGTTAAGTATTGATAATAATATTGTAGGACTGTACTCAACCTGAGGAAACAGTTTCTTTAAGATTTTGTCAAAGTGAAACTCTATGCGGTCAGCAAAAGCTGCAACAACAATAATGTTTAACACGGAAAAATCATTGTACTGATGGCGCATGCTTTTGGGGTTTTTCTGGCATACATTAGCGGGCCTAATGGAAGCTGAAAATCCTACCGTTTCGCTGATCTCTTCCCCGATTCTCCACCGCTTTCATCCGTTTTTCTCACCTTTTTCTAGTATTCATCCTTTTCCTTATCCTTTTCTGTTCTCTGATGGATTGGAGAAAACTGTTCTCTTGTTCTGCTAGCCAACGCCTGCGATATTTTCCCCCAAATGTAAAAGACGGGACTCCTATAGTTCATCCATCGCCTGAAGTCTTTGAAGAAGGAATTGCTGAGTGGAAGACTTATCTCGTTGGGCAAGTGCTCGGGGCTACTCCAAATTTTCAATCTCTTCAGAAAATTGTTGATAGTTTGTGGAAAATACCCTTACGAGGAGCCAAAATCCAGGTTAGCTATGCTGGACCCAATCTTTACCTGTTTTCATTTGAATCTGATTCTGATCGTGAATGGGTATTGGAAAATGGCCTTTGGCATATCTATAACAAGCCCTTAATCCTTAGGAACTGGGAACCTAACTTGAGAAAGCTTCAATTTGATTTATCTAGAATTCCTCTGTGGGTTCATCTGTATAATGTCCCCCTCGAATTATTCTCTAGTGAAGGCCTAAGTTACGTCGCTTGTGCAATTGGCTTCCACCTCTCTATGGATTATATAACAGCTCCAAAGTCTCTTTGGAATTTGCTAAGGTTTATGGCGAAATTGGGGCTACAGACGTGATTTCTAAGCAAATAAATGTCATGCTGAACAATGGTCAATCTACCTCCATATTTGTTGAAGTTCCCTGGTCTCATCCCTGCTGTAAATCCTGTAATTCTTTCGGTCATAGTGCTAAAGGTTGCAAGGCTTTCCCCAATACCTCTCAATCTATCCAAATTTGGAGGAAAAATGATACTCATTCTTCTTCTCAAACTCTTACAAAAGAGGATAATAAGGACACTACGACTACAAAGTCTGCTTCTATCAACTCAGAGGAAACTCATGTTAAAGAAGTTTTTTCAAGTGATTTACCTGCTTCTGTCTCACGTTCATCTGAAAATATCACTGCTACTCAGGATATTCCGCATTCACAGGGAAATTCGCGTTCCCCCCCCCACAGTAACTACTTCTGTTACCCAAGCTGTAATTGATCCTATTGTTCCAGCTCTCCAAAGTCTTGATGACAGTTCTCTTCCTTCTGCTCATTCACCTTCCAAAAAAAGAAGAGGCATACCACCTACAAACAAAGCCTCCAAACCTCTTGCAGCCTCTTCTAATAGGTTTGAGATTCTCACATCGTTCAAAGAAGTTTATGATCAGCAGTGCAAGCAACCTAGGAAAAAAGCTTATGGAGTTGCAGTTCAGATCAAAGAACTCAAAACTAAAAAGAAGTCCAATCTTGATAAGTCCAAAAGCTCCGTTGAAAGTAAAGGAGGGGAACAAATTCCCTCATCCCAATCCTAATGATTATCCCTTTTTAGAATATTAGAGGATTGAATAATCCTCTTAAACAAGGTAAGGTCCTTAGAAGGGTTATCCTTAATAAAGTGGACATTTTCTGTTTGCTGGAAACCCGAGTTAAGGTGGATAAATCTGCTGACATCTTAGCCTCCACCTTTGTGAATTGGAATAGCTTCTCTAACTATGAATATGCTGTTAATGGTAGGATATGGCTTCTGTGTAGGAAAGATCTTAACATTTCTTTATGCCATGTCTCTGATCAAAGCATCACTGTCAAATGCTTGTTCAATAACAATCATTTCTTAATTACTGCTATTTATGGTTGCAATGATGGTATTTCGAGAAGAAATCTTTGGCATAATCTTCGAAACATTCATTCTTCTTCTTGCAATCTTCCATGGATCCTGGGAGGAGATTTCAATGCACTCTTTTCCCTCACGAATCTTCTTCTCACGAGCAATTAGGTATGGTTACAACTTCGGAGATGATTGAATTCCAAGAAATCTATCATGATCTTCAACTCCAAGACCATCCATTTTTCGGTCCTACTTACTCTTGGAGTAACAAGCAAAAGGAGAATTTTCTTGCTCGTAAACTTGATAGAGTCCTCACCAACCCTTTATGGTATGAAGTTTTTCCCCTCTCGTTTGTGGAATTCTTGGCTCCTAGACCTTCTGACCATTGTATGGCTTTGGTTTCTCTTCATAAAGAGGTTCATGCTAACAAACCAAAGCCTTTTAAATTCTTTAACTACTGGACTCTTCATCACAATTTCCTTAATATTGTTAGTCATTCTTGGTCCATTCCTATCCAAGGAAATCCTATGAAGAAGCTTTTTCTCAAGCTTAAATGCCTTAAAGCTACTCTCAAAACTCTCAACAATGACTGTTATAGTGACTTATCTTCTCGGGTTTGCCTTAAGAGAGTGGAGTTTGAGAAACAACAAATTCTCACTTTAAGAGGAGTTGAGCTTATCGATAAGGAGATTTAATTGCAAAATGAACTCAACTCCTTAAAGGAAGCAGAGGAAATGTTCCTAAAGCAAAAAGCAAAAATTCACTGGCTTAAGGAGAGAGATAAATGCACCAGATTTTTTCACTCTGTAATTGCAAACAAGAGGAAAAAGACATCATTCGAGTTTTGGTTGATGAAAACGGAATAAGGCTAGAGACTTTTGATGATATGTCCACTGAAGTAGTTAATTTTTACAAAAGACTCCTAGGCTCCACTGACCCCAATGTCAAAGAATACCCTATCAATATTCTTAGAGACCTCATGCTTCCAATTCCTAATTCTGAAGACTATGATGGTCTCACAAAGGAAGTCACTTACGAGGAGATCAAGGAGGCAAATTTCAGCCAAGGTAACAATAAGGCTCCCGGCCCTGATGGTTACACTTCTATTTTCTTCAAAAAAGCTTGGCAAGTTGTAAGAAATGATGTGATTGAAGCTATTAATTTTTTCTTCCATGAAGCTTACATTTACCCAGCTTTTAATGCCACTACCATTGTCCTGGTTCCTAAGATTCTTAATCTCAATAAAGTTTCAGACTTTCGTCCTATTTCATGATGCTCAGTTATTTATAAGGTCATCACTAAGCTCATTGTTAATAGGTTGACCCACCTGCTTCCGAAGTTTATTACCTCTAATCAATCTGCTTTTGTTAAAGGAAGAAGTATCATCGACAACACCCTTCTTGCCCAAGAAATTGTGAAAGGATATGGGAGGAACTCTATTTCATCTAGATGTGCTCTCAAAATAGATCTTCAAAAAGCATTTGATTCTGTTCATTAGAGCTTCATCCTTTTCATTCTTAAGGCTCTGGATTTTTCAATCATTCTCATTCAATGGATTGAGGCTTGCTACTCTGCTGCCACTTATTCTATTGCTTTAAATGGTATCCTGACTGGATATTTTAAGGGTGCAAAGGGACTTAAACAAGGTGACCCTCTTTCCCCTATTTTGTTCATTATGATGATGAATATCCTCTCTAAATTACTCAATAATGCTGCTGTTAAAAGGATCCTTAGCTTCCACCCTAAATGCAAGCAAATCGGTCTTACTCACTTAATCTTTGTTGATGATTTGCTAATTTTCTGCAAAGGTAATCTTGATTCTGTCATGGGAGTCATCACTGTTCTTGACTACTTCTATGAAATTTCTGGCCTCAAACTCAATGTTGCTAAATGTGAAATCTTTACTGCTGACATTTCGGTTCATTCTCTTAACACTATTATTAATTTTTCTGGATTTAAGCATGGAACACTCCCGGTTAGGTACCTGGGGATACCTCTGGTCACAAGGAAACTTAATGTTAAGGACTGCCAGCCTATCATCGATAAGATCAAGCTCAAACTCCACCAATGGTCTAGGCTGAAGCTGAGTTTTGCTGGTAGACTCGAGCTAATTAAAATTGTCCTCTTTAGTGTTGCTAACTATTGGTGTAGGCAGTTGAACCTACCTCAATCTGTTATCAACAAAATTGAACAAATCTGTTCGAGATACTTCTGGAAAGGTTCTGACATTCCAGCAGCGGGAGCAAGAGTAAGCTGGGACAGAATTTGTAAACCTAAATCTGAAGGAGGTCTTGGTCTTAAAGACATTAAGTCGTGGAACAAATCTTGCATGCTGATTCTTATTAAGAGACTACTTGTAGGGGAGGGTTCATTTTGGGTTTATGGATTCACACATATTTAATCAAGAATCATGATTTTTGGGTTATGGAAGTCCCATTGAATACTAGCTGGCTTCAAAGGAAATTCATGAATTTTCGTACAATCGCTCGGCCTATCCTTGAATATGGAGCTATGTCTATCAAGCAAATCTGGGATAATATTCGACTGAAAAACAACAAAGTTCCATGGCAGCATCTAATTTGGCTTTCGTTTCACGTTCCAAAACACAGTTTAATCTCTTGGATGGTTATTCTGGACTGCCTCCCTACAAATGATAGGTTACAATGATTTGGAATTGTTGTCAACGATCAATGCATTCTCTATTTTGCAACAAAGGAATCCAGAGACCACCTTTTTGCAGAATGTAATTTTACTGCTACTATATGGAAATCACTACTTCTGCTTGCAGGCATTCAAAATCCTCTTCTTAATTGGTCTGATCTGCTTTGTTGGGCTATTAAGACATGGAAAGGGAAATCTTTAATTACTAGTATCTTGAAGCTTTCTTGGTGCTCACTTAACTACACCATTTGGGAAGAAAGGAACCGACGGATTTTTAGACAAACCAACAGATCGGAAAACCAGATTCTAGATACAATCAAACAGATTGTAGGAATTCAGCTTAGTAATAGGAATGTTAACATATTAGATAGAACCAATCTTTCTCTTTGCAACTTATGGGGGATAGATTGATTTTTGTTGTATCTAGGATCCCCTTCATTTGTTCTTGATGAATGTTTTGTAGCAGTTTTATGCTATTCTTTGGGTAATAAAATTCTATTTATCCAAAAATAATAATAATATTGTAATCTTGAATAGAGCTTTGAATACGATCTTTTCATTTATATAGTTAAATATTGTTATTTCTTGAGAATTGGGGTTCGAGCACCATAAATATCAGGCATACAAACGTTCAATGTTAGAAGGTTGAAAATTATTTTTAAACAGATATTATCTTGTACTTACTTCAGATTAATAAAAAAATGTTACTTTAGATAAGCTTATGAACATGTAAAGTGTTCCCATTTTTGTTTGATTTTTATTGTCTATATTTTTAATTTTTTATAAATATTTTTAATCTTTCTAAATGTAAATAAAATATTTAAACACATTTTTTAAAACAACTTTGCTGTTATTAGACATTTTCACCTTCCGATTATTATAATATAAGAGTGAGATGTTAATTTTATGAGTAAACTACATATTTAATCATCCACTTATTCATGCATTTTGTTTTGGTAATTTAATTATGTTTTTCTAAATCATTACTCAACGTTACATTACATTTATGTTTTTGTTATCCGCCCTTAGATTCAACCGTTGATTTAACATAAATGGTTATGACATGATATAATAACATTTTTAGTCTCTAAAACCTACATATTCTATTAAATTAATCCTAATTTGAACTAATTAAAAAATTTATCAATTTGATCCAACACAAAATTCCAAAATCTCTCTTCAAAATCCCAATCTTCCCCAAAACCCATTCTCAACATCGTCATCGCCCGTTTGCTCAACCATCGCCATCATCTCTCCACATCGACCGCCCGTGTGATGAAGATGACATTGATGAAGCCTTATAGCCACCTTGTAACGTAGAAATACGATGCTTCACCCCTCTTGTTCTCCAGTTACATTGGCCCAGCTGAAGCATGTCATACTTGGCAATTTCGAATTTCTAGGATTAACAAAACAAGGCAAACATCATCTAAACTATGCTTTACTTGGTAGTTGCTAAAAAGAGGGTGGATAGCGTTAAAGTCCATGTCTAAGAAAGACTTGGTAGAGGTAAAAACTTTATTTAAACCGTAAAGCTTTTTTAAGAAATAAAATTAATTCTTCAGTTGTAAACAAAAAAGTAGGTGCAAATGAAAGACACTGCATGTTACAAGAAAAGTAAGGAAATGACCATTCTCAAGAACTGAAGTTTCAGATTAGTAGACATCAGGGCCTTTTGAGAAGGGTGCCGGAACAGTGAATCCAAAGGTTTTGATGCTACAACAAATGAGAGAGACCAAAATCGTCTACACGAAAGAGAGAAAAGAAAAGCTAAATTCTACATATTTCTTTTCATCCACAAACATCCTAATTCCTAAAGGAGCTTCTAGCCTCTCATAAGACCTCTTCACACTGGTTAGGTTCAAAAACAACAAAATAAAATGGAGCTAAGTTAGTATCCTTTCCATGGGTCTCATCCCGTCTGAGAAGACCGCCATTCGTCGTAGTGTAATTTCGATTATAGCAAAACTCAGGCCTGTAGTTTTAGAACTCTGCCTATTTTAACACACAAATTAACTCACAAAAATATATGATTAAAAAAAGACTCGCACCACACATTCATATTTGAAAATGCAAATCTAAAATGACATAGACTTGCACATTCAGTTCTATCAATTCATTATTTTTCAAACCTAAGATATTAAAATCACAGACACAAGGTATTCTCCGTTTCTCTCCAATGTATAACAATTCTATGAAAACCGACTGGAAAATAACTGTGTTTTCCCAGGGCAAGCGTCCTTAAGTCTTGTCTTTTTTTTAACAAGGGATGAGCCTTGATACTACAGTTTCATTTGACCAAAGCCTCCTTTGAATGAACCATACAGAGGTTGAGATCTTTTAAAACTGAAGATATCATCAATTTGAATTGTATTTGGTTGAACTGCTTCACATTTCTGCGAGTTGAAATCGGACAAATGTTGGTTCCCATATACTTGCACACTAAGTGTTTTCTTTCGAGTTGCGCCGACTTTTATATTTTCATTGAAGAACTCAATCAGCTCTTGTTGCGTGTGTTTCTTTAATGCTGCAATCTGTTGGAAACAGATGGTAAAGATGAACCATTTAAGATCAAAGTAGATGAATTTCCTTTTCAATGACTAGAAAATATCAGATCGATGGGCATACCTCAGCTTCTCTCCTATCAAATTTGAGAGTCCCTTCAAGGATCTCTCGCCAGTAAAATTGAGATTCTTCCCTTAAATTCTTGTGCTTCTCAAGCTTCATATCGATCAAGGCATTTACATTGCTCTGTGTAAAATTTTGGAAGTTTATGATTAGAGGACAAATTCTCACTCAAATGTTGCTAAAATATTATTGGAATTAGTTTTAAATCCCTTCACCTACTAAATGCATGAAGGAACTCAACTAAGATATTCAGTAGTCAAAAGGATTTTCTAATGGCTATGCAGCTGACTGTCACCTACGATAGTTATACATGCATATATATATATATATATATATATATATATATATATATATATATATATATATATATAAATCCAAAAAACTGTTCAAAATCAAAATTTCAAGCAATCAACTATATTGGAATTCTAATAAAAGCCATAACAAGGAGCACAACACTACAGAAAGCATTTCAATAAAAGCTCTTGCCTATTATTAGATAAGAAATTATCTTATAGCATGTACGAGAATGTTTCATGGTGGCTAGGCCAAAGAAAACCCAGGTCTTACACAGAATTGAATTAAGATTTGAATAATCAATCAGCGAAAGAATCAATTGAAGTTGGATCTCCAAAGTCCCAATAGGGTCCTCCTGCATCAGCCGAATTGTTGGCAGTTAAAAAGGAATTATTGTTTTTAATAGATTCCAACTGGTGCAATAAAGGGCGGTTGATATTAGAATGTGATTGTCTCTCTGTTGTGCATTGGTTTAAAAACCAGAAATGCTGTCCTATTTCGATGGGCCTTGTTTTGCAAGAGATTGTCTCTCTAGTTAGGGATAGGGATGTAATTGTTAGGCATATTAGCAGAGGGTCTAATTGGGAGGCGGACTGCTAAAGATGAAATTAGTTTATTGGGGGTAGTGTGTAGGAACGGGAGTTTGCTCCTGTGGGGTTTCTTTTGTATGCATGTTAGTGGGAATCGTATGGTGTATGACGTTGACCTTAATGTACTATGGTTCTGATATTTAATAAAATTTTGATACACTCTTTTCCTCCTTCTAATGTCATATGAAATATTTTATATTTTATAGGGTATTAAGAGGATTTTTAATGAGGTCTTTCATTTTTATCAAAAAAAAAAATCTCCAGAGTCCGAAGCATGTTTAGTGAACGATAGCTGGAATTTCTTGAACTAGAATCAAATAAGTTTACAGGAAAGAAGAAAAAGGAAGAAAGGAGATAATTAAGACTCAATCAAATATTATACCACGAAACACTACTTTAAAACCCTAATATCTTTTTATATAAAAAAAAAAACCCTTATCTCTCAATTAAACCCAGAAAAAAACTGAACGGAACAAGACAAAGGGCATTTCAGATATACACCAAATAACAAATATCCGTAGAGGCCAAAGTTGAATTACGCTGACGACTTGAATGAGAAACTTTGTTGTTGAAACATAAAAGTTCATTTAACAAAGATAATGATGCCCTATAATCTCCCAAACTACCTTAGACTGTCATTCAGGTTCAAAATAAACTCCCCATCTTAACTTAAATTCATCATTCGTCATTTCATACGGTTTAGTCGAGAACATTTTAAGGATGCCTCAACTCTTGAATCAATATGTTCAGGGCCCAGTTAAGAGAGATCGTAGTCTTAAGTTAAATGAACAAGACAAGAGGTACATACAAAAGAAAGAACCTGCTTTTCACCTTTACTGTAGACTGGATAATGAACTGCACCCTACGGATTCCGGAATCATTCCTAATGATATAATTAAAGGCTCTCAAAATTTGAGAGCCATGGAATCCCAAGTCATATAAACAACATGATTTTCAGAACCAGATCAGTTAGCGAATCGGTCATGCTACCGGTTTATTGGTTTAACCGGTTGAATCGGTTCGACCGGTTGAAAGAATCGGACGATGTCATAATTATTTAAAAAATTAAATAAAAATATAAAAAATATTTAATAAAAAATAATTTTTTATATCACAAGTCATATTCAAAGCAAGTAATAACATATATAAGTTAAAAATCATAAAATTAAGTAAAACAAAATGATTCAAATTAACTACAATATAATATTTAAGATAAAACATATTAAATAATAAATATAATTATATAACTATAATTAAAAAATAAATTTGGGGTTAAAAAAATCATAACAAAATGATATTGTTTGTTTAATTTTTTTTTTAAAAAACAATCTCACATGGCTAAAAAACATAGAAGCGCATCCCAAAAGTCTAAAGAGTAAAAATATGAGAACAAAACAATCTCACATTGCTAAGAAACATAGAAGCGCATCACAACTAACTTCTATAAATAATAGAGGTAGTTTGACATTCAAAATCATGGAGCCTTTTGGTGAGCATTGAGTGAACTATTTTTTCACTTCAATCAAGCTCGAATTTTAGGCTTCAATCGAACTTCTAATTTTTTTTGAGTTCAAGCTTTTTTGAGTTCAAGTTTCAATATTATATTTCGAGTTTGAGTTAAACTTGATGATTTTTAGCTTGTGAGTTTGAGTTGAGCTTACTTTTAAAGTTTTCAAGTTCGAGTCGATCTCAGCAATACTCGAGTTCGATTTGGCTCGTTTAACAAACGACGTTGTTTGGTTTAATTTTTTTAAAAAAAAAAAAACAAAAATCCCGATTTTCCCCGGTTTTTTCCGGTTTTCAACCGGTCTAGTTCGAACGGTTTAACGGTTCTGGCCGATTCACTAATAGCGGTTCAACCAGTTTAGATTGAACCGGACTAAACAACAATTACCGGTTAAACCGGCCGGTCCGTTCCGATTTTCAAAACAGAGATAAACAGAGTCAAGAAGCATGCGTTGGAAGTGCACATCAGGTTTACTTGAGGTCGCACAACCCTTTCTATCATCATCAGACAAAGTGGCATTAAAATCGCCAATAATGAGCCAAGGTTCGGATAAAACAGGAGCGATCAGCCGAAGATAATTCCATAAAGTCTTGCGCTTGCTAGATAATGGACTAGCATAGATAGCAGTTGCAATGAAGGAAAAACCAGAAGAGTTATCAGTCACCTGACAAAGGATAAACTGAAAATGAGAAAACAAAATTTCAATCCGGAATATGTCATTCCAACATAACTAAATACCACACGAGAAACCCATAGCCTTAACTCGATAAGAATTTGGAAATCTCAGATTAGGAATGACTTTATCGGTTGTAATACCATTGATTCTTGTTTCAGCGAAAACAAAAATGTACGGGCGATTTTCCGCATGTATTGCTTAGCAACTCATAAGAAGTTTGAATTCCTACATCCTTGGGTATTCCACACAATGAATTGGAAATCCATAAAAAATATAGAGGGGAAGGACGGTCATTCGACTATAGTCGATGAATCATCAGCCTGTAATAAAGCAACATCGACAATCGGTGTTGTCGTTATGCTAGTGTCTGGAGGCTTACCATGGGAAACACTTCTAACATTTTCTTTTGAAAAGGGATTTAGAGGCAGCTAGGGATTGAGGTTTGCATCGATAGCAACAACAGAATATTTTTTCGGATTCAAAACAACACTCGGTTTTCGGACTGAAGGGTCCATGGACGAGCTCGCGTGTTGAGCACCAACACCACGATTCAATATTATATTTGAAGAGATCGGTTGAAGAGGCACGGAGAGGGCTTTCCTGGAAGACGGAGCTTCTTTCTCTTTTTGTTTCACCTTATTTTGCAGGGGTGTGATACGTATGCCTTGAGGTGCAGCAGCGGTTTTACCAGGTTTTCTTCGGTGGCATTGTCTTTTGAACTGGCGCGTTAACTGGTGTCTCATCGATTTGGAGTGTACCCGTAGCAGAACGCTCAACAACAGTTTTAGCATCAAGAGGTGTCTCAACATCCGTTACAAGTGGGCTAAAAGGGGAGCTTTCAATACGAATGGTATCATCACCAACAGTTTTTTTTTTTGAAACTTTCTTGAGGCTTTTGTTGACAACCTTCGACCATCATCCAAGCTCCAAAAGCCTCGTTTGGGACAGGCAAGGTTTTGGGTGGTGCAGTCGGTTGAGGTACGGAGGAACTAGGGCGTCGGGGTTCACGGTAGTAGTTGGAGCAACCGTGACAAGCCTCGTTTGGGACAGGCAAGGTTTTGGGTGGTGCAGTCTGTTGAGGTACGGAGGAACTAGGGCCTCGGGGTTCACGGTAGTCGTTGGAGCAACCGTGACAAGAGTAAGGCAGAGATCTTTTACGTGTCCGTAAATTCCGCATTCAAAACACTGTAGGAAGAGACTCATACTCCACGATTTGAGTTCTTCCATTGATTTCGATTTTCAACACGAGGTTTGCGTAACCGCCATACGCGAAAAACGTCGGTGATGGTTTTTTCCCATATCATATTTTTTTTTATTTTAGGTTGACCACCAGTTTTAAAGTCAAGTCAAATATTTAGTTTTGATACGTAAATTCTTTCGGTGGAGATTTTTTACATATACAAATATTTAAATCTAAAACTTTAAATGACTGATTATCACTTAAATATTAATATCCAAATTGAAATGATAGACGTAAAACAAACAACATAACGAAATTTTGAGAAATGGATAATTTTATTGAAGGAAAAGTGGCTACAAAGCACAGTACCCGATTACATATCACCGCTAGACTGGACAGTCATGAAACTAGACAATGATGCTAATGACCTGAACTAACTTGGACTTGAATTTCTACGACCCATCTGTACATCTCCTCCGAAGGAACCGGCAGAGTTAGTGTCACCAATCCAGTGGCCAAGTCGTAGACGAAGAGCGTCTCGGCATTGTTCACACTGCACTTCGATGGACGCTGAGATGAGTAAGCACCGAACCTCCCGCAACCCTGGACTTTGAGGCTGATCATTGCGGTTGGACTCCGGTTGTCACTGAGAGAAGATGTCAACTCCGAGGAAACCTCACCATCGAAGAACTCGGATTTCTCATCGGATGTCACATGTACTTCATACTGCTCCACGGCACCGCTGCCGTTGAACATGTCAAGTAGGCCAATTGGTGCAAATGAAATGTTGTTGGTAATATCCTGCACCATAGGAAAACGCAGTCAATAAGTCACCATACTCGAATTACATACAGAAGCCTAAAGAGAAGGAAAGAAACTAACCTTGACCGGACAGAAATGGAATAATTCATACTCGAGAACCTTGAGCGTTACCGGCACCGAAGCGCCTTTAGGTAACCTTACCACCTCTCCTGCAATTAGAAATGCATTGTTTAACATTATAAGTTGTAAATGCAAATCCCGAAATATATCGACAGTGCAAGGGAGCCGCTACCAGGACAACTAGGATGAAATAAATACCTGATCTATGAGCATAAACCACAGTCTCCCCGTTCCAGTCCGCACCAGCAATCTGAGTGATTGAATCAACATCGTTGGCACAAACAGAACCTGTAAGGGTATCAGGTGATGCATCGTGAATGCGGGTTTTCTTGGAGATCTTGCACCAACCAGCACCTTGGCAGTTGAAAACACCCACCACACCGGAACACTTGTTGACATTCCACATCTTGAGCAAGCTGAAAAGTAGAATTCTCTGTTGGTAAAACTACACAAATAAAAGACACAACGTACATTAAGCAATGAGAAAGTATGTTACAGACCTGATCCCATCTCTAGCCGGATCAACAAACAGACAATCAACAGTAGGCCTGCCGGGCAGTTGGGCACGGAGAACCGATCCATCAGGAAGGACTAATTTCTTCAAGAGCTCAAAGTTGTGGTTTCCAGGCATATCGCTACACAGAACAACATAAAATGCACATTAGAAAATTATTACAGCGTCATTAGCATTAGTAAAAAATAAAAATTAACTTCAGCATCACACACCTGACATAGATAGCACATCCGCCAATAGCGCGAGCAGCTGCATGATAGTCTGCAGCTGGGTGTAAGCTCTGCAAACCAGAGATTTTTTTATTAGTACCACATGACCCCTCTTGTTTTTTAACCTTTCTATAGTGAATACAACAATAACTTCAATTAAAGATGGAAATAGATAAAAAAAAAAACTTCACTTATTTTGACTTACGTGGAACATATCCCAATCAGGTTGCATAAATTCTCCGAGAAAAAGAGTGTTGTAAGCCACAGCTGAAATGTGGATAGTGTGTGAAGCAGGGTCGTGAGGATAAAAGTCATCAGATGCCCTAACAACAGAGGTCTGTTTGGTACTGTAGATTCCATCGGTGTTATGACACATGCAAGCTATGCATCCATTGTCAGGGAAGTTTCGAGTGATTGAGGCTTCAAGGGCCTGTACATAACTGCGGGTAAGAGATACTCTACCACCGTGTCCGGCACCAAGGGTCTCAATTATGTTTTGCACATCAACCTTCACTCCATCAACTCCACATGAAGCCAGATAAGCATGAAGCTCATTGTAGAAGTTGAAAACCTTCTTCGGATGCACCAAACCAAGGCCATGAACAGCAAGGCTGTCCATAACTATGTCTGGCTGGTTGCCCATCACACCAGGGGACTGAATAGGATATGCCAATGCTGTATCATAATGTTCCATACCAGCAGCAGCGGGTTTGACTCCGCCCCAATAGCCAGCCAAGGCATGCCACACATATACATTCCTAAGCCCAAAGTAAGCCAAAATGTTACTTGTGATGGAAATCAACATGATTTAGGGACAAATATACTACTAGTAGCCACCACATGCTATTTTGATTCAAGATCAATACAGGATGAATGACCAAGTGGCAGGGTTTAACTTTTTCATTTCTCTGATGCACAAGTATGTATTCCAATGAGTGTCATTAAACATCAAGATCCAGAAAAATTTGGACCACTTACTTTACATTATGATTCTGCTTGGCTTCGTCTACAACAAGTTTTAGGCCAGAGATCTGTTCATTGTTTTGGCCATTCTTTTGGAACTTTGCATTCTCTTTAATCCCAGTCAACCTACTCGCAAACCTGCAACAAACAATTGAGCATCATATCTATATCCAACTTCAGGTAATAAGTTTCTAAATGTGCAAGACCTTCATCCAAAAAAGAAAATAGAAATAATCGACTGAAGGCGGAAGAGCTTAAAATGTTACGGAAAAAGGAGAGAAAACATTCCATCTACAGAGTTGGTTTCAGTCCATGCATATGTATATGTATATGCGTGAGAGAGAACTTACTGTGCCCCTTCTTGTACAACACAATCAGGCTCCTTGGGCTTACTTTCAATCTGCTGCCAGCCATCATCTATGATCAAAAATCGAGGTGGAGTCCCTCCCTCTGATAGACTGCAATTAAAAGACAGAATTTAGTGATGACATCTATTACCATTGCAGAAGTTCCCATCCATCCGCAATTTATCAATTGCTCAAATTGCTATACTTTTCTACTACCTTTTGAGGCCTTCCTTAACACCCTCTGCAGTGACATCGGTGTAGAAAGCATCCCATGTGCACCAGCCAAACCAATCAAGAAATGAAGGCAACTATTCACAACCAACACAATAATATTAGAAAGGATTCAAAAAGACAATCATAGTTTTTCCACAAACCAATTTAGAATTGTAATAAGAATGCTATAAATATTAAATGGAAGGGGAGGTAAACTTCAATGCAAGTAATTATACCTTCTTCTTCTCTCGATGATGAAAAGTTTGCATGTGTTTCTCCATAGCCCTGGTTGGTTCATGAAAGAGCTCATTAATAAACCACAAGAAACACGATATATTTAGGAAATTAAACAAAAATCTTGATATATGATCACTGATCATAAGTTATCCATAATTTCCAGAGAGAAAACTTGTTCTTCTCTTTACAGGGAATTATTTTTAAAAAATCAATTACACATCAAGGATAAAAGAATGTGGAAAAAAATGCATGAAGAAGCAAATCTACTCACTTTACAGCCTGGTTGATAACTTCAAATGGATTGGTCCCAGCATGCATGTAGACAAGGTAAAGGCCTTGGTTTGTTTCAACAGTGTTATCACCTGCAAAACCAAATCACACCAAAAAGAACATCGTTTCGGTTCTTTGGAACTCCATCCGTTCAACCTATTCTCTTCGCAAGAATGCTATGTATGCCATTTATCTTGATTTATTGGGATGGCGGTCATTCGTGCTTTTCTCTACCCTGGTTGTTCACACTAATGACAACTCCACCCCATGATTGATGATTTCATATGGTTTGCTTCCTTCATTTATGGCCGATAACTAAAGGTTTGCCTCATGCAATACATAATGGATAGGACGTATATGGCAGACGCCACAAGGGGGGCCAGAAGCTACTCACCACTCTCGAGGCATATCTCAAGCTCATTCTTGTCATTGCCTTGAAGAACAGCACGGAACTGGCCTTCAAGGAGTGGAAGGAAAACAGTGTAGATTGTTGGAGCATTAGGATCATCTTCTTCCTTGCTCTCTACGAGCATGAATTGAGTCTCCAAAGGAACATCTTTCCCACATGTTCCCATTCTCTGAGTCATCCACCATAGTTTGAATCGGAAACAGCACACAAATCGGAGACCCCTGTTACAGGAAAAAGTAAGAACAAATCATGACTTTGGATACCCATCCAAGCCAAAATCATTTTAGAACATCCTCAAGTACCATGTGTACATTTCAGCAAAACAACAGTTAATCCAACAAACATGACCGTTAAAAGTAATTTAAAATATATTTAAGCGCGAGTATATATTGGAACCAATACTTGAAAATAGTTATGAAACTATATATTCTAATTCATAGCATATTCATATAATTTGTTTATTTGCAAGTTAATTGGGAAACATTTTTTTAATTGACCCAAATGAACCTTTTTCTAAACATGCACATAGATCAAAAGGGTGAAAATAAGCTAAAAGGTTGAGGTGGAATCTTAAGGCAACAATCAGTAACAAAAGAAGTTTGATGCTGTTAGTAATAAAAATAGGAACCATCTATCTACCGTTGTTTGCTAATATTACTTTTGTAAAATGATTAGCTAGATCTGAAACTCTTTAAGTTCATAAACAAATGAAATTTCAATGATTAGTTAGATCTCAAACTCGTAAGTCCAAAAACAAATGTTATTTATTAGGAAGAAATGTTCATACGAATGCAATCACCAATTCATAAACAGGAAATCACCAAAACAACAGCATTTACATTAATAAAAAGAGGATATGAACGTCAAAACCGGAGGACAATAAAGTTTGAAATAGGAGAAAGTGCTTACTCTAAAACACCAATAGGGAAGACATGAAGGCTTTTGCTATCCGAAGCAGTAGCACCAATGAAAGAACCGGCAACAAGTCCGAAACTGGATCCCGGTGTCAGAACGATGTTGTCTGGCATTCCAGTGAGGATGGTCTTCCCATGAACCACAAGGTTCCCATCGTTGATGGAAATTCTTGGTGTAACAGTCATTGTTGATGATGAGCACCTGATAACTGTCTAACAACACAATAAACAACATCATTGACAACTCAAATAACATATATAAAAACAAAAGTAACATGTTCACGTTAGCTAGGAAACAGAAATTCAGTCAAACTAATAAAGAATCATGGAGCACAAAAACAAGATTAAGGACCACCCTTTTGCAGATTAAGAATGCTGCGAAATAAATGAAAAAATGGGTAAGGGAGGGTCTAAAATTATAACCTATGGGTTTAAAATATCCTGGAAAATTTAGGCTATTAGAAGGAACATTTCCAGTGCCATGAGTTTTCGTTGAAGGAAGAAACCACCCCAATTGCATCACTGGTGTTGTCCTTAACATTCTCTCACCTAACCGCTTAATAAACATTGAGTTTTGAGCGCAGCCAAACTTATAAAGAATGAGGTTAAAAAAAATTCATTTTTTTTACTTGTTGAGACAAAAAATACCACAACACTTTCCTTCACCCTGTATATTTCTGTTATTTGTTTATTAGGATAAAATATTACTCATTGGAGAAACGCCTAGGATAATTAGGTACGAAAATAAAGGAATTATTTATTCATACATTATTGTGGAGTGTTTAAACTAACTCCAGTTCGTCGCTAAATTGGATTTTTTTCCTTTATACCTACTATTTTGAAAGCCATCAATGAAAAAAAAAACGAAAATAAAGCTCTTAATGTTAATGATTTTATTTAAGAAAAATAAAAGAAAAAAGTGTTTTCTGAGAGCTACAAAGAAAAGAGCAAGTTTGGACGGATGCACGAGAAAAGCAGCTTTAATAAACTCAAAAAACTTCATGATTAATACAGCAGCAGCAGCAGGAGGGAGGAAACGGATATTTTTAATTTAACAGAGATTTATATAAAAGTTTGAAACGACGACGAATTTTGAAATAAACAGGGATATATCAAAATTTATAGAAGCCATCGAAAGAGGAATATATCGTCGTGATCTAACTCTTATATCGATGAGATTTATATACTATGTTCTTCGCCCAGCGCAGATCTACAACGTTAATCACTGATCTTGGCTTTAACTCCATCCTCAATTGTTGGAACCAAGCAGAAAGCTTAGCAAATCCGTAAAAATCTCAACATTAATAGACAAAAAGTTCAAAAACAAAAACTCCAAATCACTTCTATTTGATGATCATGATTACCCCCGAAGCCAGCAACTAAGTCACCAAAGAGGGTTAAAAAAACAATTTATTCAATAAAGAATCCACCGTAAACTACAATTTAATCAACAAATCCATCAAAGTCTCAAAATCATATAAAAATAAATTCAGAAAAGGAAGAATCAGATCATAGGAACTCCAAAATCCAAATCAGATCTCTCATGATCACCAATGGAACCAGCAACAAAGTCACCGAAGATGAAAAACGAATTACTCAAACTACAGTTCATGGCTTGGAACCCCTAATGAACTCACCGGTAGCCGGTCTTTATGCCGTCGAGAGGGCTAAAAGCTCGAAACTCTTGTTTACTTCAAAGCTAAGGAAAGTAGAGAAAAACTAAGCAGATGTGCACTCCAACAAAGGGAATGCCTCTTTCTCTATAATCGAAAGGCCGAAGGCGCCAATGACGGCTGTTTTCCTCACTCAGACAATGGATGCGAGTATTGATGGGGAGAAGGTGGGGTTTATATAGGAACAATTTGTGGAGTTAAACATCGAGCAACTTCAATTTATTGGACCGTCCCACAAATCGCCAGGTGGGATTTCCAACTTGTTGGTAGAAATAAAATAATAAACAAAAATGGAGATATTTTCTTTCATCGTCAACAGTTGCTGTCTGCACCGTAAATTTAAAGAGAAAGCTTCGCGATTAGGGGGTAAACGAGTCTTGATGAGTTTAAGTATTGTTGAGATCGATTTGATTCGAAAATTTTGAAATAGAGTTTAATTTGGTTTGAAAATTCGTGAGTTTAAAATTTTTAAACTCGACTCGAAATCGAAATACTGAACTGAAGCTTGTGAGCAGTTCGAAATGAAAAAAGTCTTAAACTTAACTCGATTGAAGCTTCAAACTCGAACTCGAACCTTAAATACATAAAAATCTTATTGTATTTTAAAAAATCAATACATAAATATTAATATTATTAATAGTTTATTTTTTAAAAATAAAATCTTAATATATTATATTTTTGAGTTGTTTACGAGTTTTTTCTAATCGAATATCAAATAATTCGTTTTAACTCGTTAAGAACTCGAATCAAACTCGAGCCTAAATCAAATTCATTCAATCTAATTATTTATTAAACCTTAATTAAATCAATCTCGAATAAATAATGATTTGCCTTATCTTATTTACTGTCGTAATCGAGATTACATTGCATGCATGCATTGTAAGAAACATCGGGAAAAAAGGGGCATTGGAAATTGAAAGAATTCAGTATTCTCAGGCAGGCCGCCCTTCTATCCACACGGTTTTCAAGTTGCATACCCCTTTTTTTCTATTTTATTATTTCAAATTATTTAAATTTATATGTTTTTATTATTTGTGCACTGAATTTGAAAGTCGTGATTATTTTTATTACCAAGTAAAGAGCTCTTATATTTTCAGAGTAAATATAAAGAATCTTTGGTGGTAGATTTATCTATTAAAATTAAACGTGTAATTCAGATTGATTCGAATTAGTCAATAAGAAAATTTGAGAATCAAAAGACTAAAAGAATATATACAAAATAACAATATAAATATTTTTTAATCAATTGATCAAAATAATGGATCTTTCATGTCATTATTAATTTTTGGAATATAATGCATATATATAATTAGATATGAAGGGATCAAATTGGAAAAAAATTAGAAGCTAATGTTGATTATCTAAATTATTATTTATTATTATCAATTTATTATTTTTAGATTAAAAATAATTTTATCATCAGATTAATTTAATATTTTCGTAAAAGAACTAAAATAAAAATTTACAATTCAAGCGCATTGCAAATGTTGATTATCTAATTTGTTATATTTTTGTAAATAATGCATTCTAATTTCGATGTTCAAATTAATTATGTACTATTTTATTTTATTTTTCATTAAATTCAAATATTTTAAAATTTTTGAATATCCAATAAGTAAACTGAAAGATTGTAATGTGATGTATTTCAATTAGAAATGTCAGAATATATACATTGTACATTGAGTATTCTAAGCCTAGAAATTAGGAACTAATTAGCAAAGAATAAGGCAGAATATTCACAAGATTATCGCCTTTACAAAAATAGGAGATATGTACAACTATAGAATATATTTATCAGATATTCTAACACACCCCCTCAGTCGAAGCGGGAGGTTCACGAACGCTGAGACTGTCTCGAAAATCTTCAAATAAAATACGAGGTAGGCCTTTCGTAAAAATATCTGCAATCTGATAACGGGAAGGAACATGTAGGACTCGTACTTTGCCTTTAGCGACCTTTTCCCTGACAAAATGAATGTCCATCTCAATATGTTTGGTACGCTGATGTTGTACCGGGTTTCCTGATAAATATATGGTACTCACATTGTCACAATAAACCATAGTAGCTTTATGAATAAGACATTGAAGCTCAAGTAATAAATTTCGGATCCAACAAGAATCAGAAACTACATTAGCTACTCATCGGTACTCTACCTTAACACTGGAGCGTGACAAAAGTTGGTTGTCTTTTGGACGACCAAGATATTAAATTGTCACCTATAAAGACACAATAGCCGGAAGTAGAATGTCTAGTATCCGGGCATCCTCCCCAATCTGCATCAGTATAATAAATGAGCTTGTGAATTAAGGATTTATACAGATGTAGACCATAAGACAATGTGCCCTGCAAGTAGCGTAGAATACGCTTAAGAGCACTCATATGCTTGTTCATGGGATCATTCATATGAAGACAAATCTACTGAACTGCATAAGTCAGGTCGAGTAAAAGTAAGATACTGTAAAGCACCGGACAAACTGCGGTACTTGGTGGGATCCTCATAAGGTGAATCCTTCGAAGCACTGAGTTTTGGTTTGGTGTCAACAGGAGTGGGAGAAGAGTTGCAATTAGCCATACCAGCTCTTTGAATGATATCTGTTGCGTACTGTTGCTGAGATAAAAACATACCATTAGCATTGCGCGATACAACAATCCACAAAAAGAAACTGAGAGGACCCAAGTCCTTCATAGCAAATTCAGTACCCAAGAGAGCCATAAAGGGCTTTCTCAATCGATCAGATAAAGCTGTAAGAATGATATCATCAATATATAACAAAATATATGCCATATCAGAGCATTGATTGTAGATAAACAAAGAATTATATGATTTACTATTAGAAAACCCAATAGTGGCAACAAAATCTGTAAATCGCTAATACCAGGCTCGCGGAGCCTGTTTAAGGCCATAGAGTGATTTCTTTAGTAAACACACATGATCAGGGCGACTTTTATCGTGAAAACCCATAGGCTGATGCATATATACTGTTTCGTTGAGATAACCATGTAAGAAAGCATTCTTGACATCTAACTGGTGAATATGCCAAGATTTCGAAATAGCAATGCTAAGAACAGTACGAATAGTAGCCAGTTTGACAACTGGACTAAAAGTCTCATCAAAATCAACCCCTTGCTACTGAGTTTTCCCATCACCTACAAGACGAGCTTTATACCGCTCAAAAGAACCATCAGATTGTCTTTTATGTCGAAAAATCCACATAGACATGATTACATTTACATCTGGTGGCCTAGGTACCAATTCCCATGTTTTATTAGCAATAAGAGCATTAAATTCATCTAATATTACCTCTTTCCAATTTGGGTCACGAATAGCACTAATAGGGTTCTTAGGTAATGGAGAAATATTAGTGGTAGTCATGACCGAGAAATTAGAAAAATATTTTGTGTTTGGTTTGTAGATGTCATTTTCAGCTCTTGTTGTCATTTGATGAGGGGTGGGACCTGATAACGGGGTGGGAATGAATGTAGGCTGGTGGTCTGGGATGGGGAGGGCAACAGTACCGGGTGAGAGATTCGGCCCAGAAGAAGAAGGCCCAGCTTAAGAGTGAGTAGGCGAAGATGGGCTGAGAGGAGTAGGCCCAACAGAGGGTGTGGGTTGTAGTGGATTTGACGCCACATGCCCAGGAGAAGAGGTTGGGTCAGCTTGGTGCTCTAAATTAGGAGTTGGAATGCTTTGGTGAGCCAAGTGATGTAAGATTGGATTATAATCCAGAAAATCATAGTCGTTTTTGTGAGGTGAGTGAAGCTTAGATAAAGGAAATTCGTGTTCAACAAATTTGACATGACGACAAATAATTATCTTTCCACTTGACATGTTATAGCATTTTGAACCTATATGATTTGGGGTGGGACCAATATAGACACAAAGAGTGGACCTTTCTTGTAATTTATGAATAGAGGTGGATGGGAAGAGAGGAAAACATAGACAACCAAAGACACGTAATTTCGAGTATATGGAATCACATTGGTATAGAACTTGAGTTGGAGACTTAAATCCTAGAACTTTGGTTGAAATGATGTTTAGGAGATATGTGGCCATCTCTAAAGCATGATGCCAAAAGGAAAGCGGTAAAGAAGCATGAGCAAGTAAGGTCCGGATTATATTGTTTATGGATTTTAAGTGGCGTTCGGCTTTTCCATTTTGAGGTGATGTATGAGGACAAGAAAGACGGAAGAGCATGCATGGTTATTAAAAAACTCTTTTAAAGTGCCATTAACATATTCCGTGCCATTGTCACATTGAAAGGTCTTAATATCACGAGTAAATTGTGACCGTATTAGACTATGAAATGATTGGAACAAGTGTTTGACTTGAGATTTCTTAGCAATAGGAAACGTCCACAAGAATACTGTAATCATCAAGAAAAATAACATAATATCATCGGCCAGATGTACTCATGACAGGCAAAGTCCAAAGATCACTATGAATAATATCAAAAGGAGAAGCAATGTGCGACATAGAATCATAAAACGGTAACTTAGAAAGTTTCCCAAGAGGGCAAGATGAACAAAAAGTTTTACAAGCCTTATTACAATCAATAAAATTTTTACTTCTAAGAGACCTAAAAACAGCATCACCGAGATGTCCTAGACGGTTATGCCAAATATCAGCTGAAATAGTAGTAAAAGCTAAATTATTGACTGGAAGAGTGGCTTGATTAATGGAGAATAGAGGATAAAGGTCACCGGTACTGTCACATCTCACTATTCTGGCTACAGTCTGTAAGTCATTAACGGAAAAACCAAGGGGATCAAATTCTACGGAAACTGAATTATCTTTGGTGAATTTACGGACATATATTAAATTTTTAATCAATTTAGGAGCATGTAACACATTGTTCAAGTGAAACGGGGGGTAAGGGCGAGGCAAAATAGTACTACCATAACCAACAATTGGAACTAGATGTTCACTACCCATAACAATGTTATTATGTTTAATGCTCGAATTGAAATAAGAAGAAAATATACCTTGATCCGAAGTCATGTGAGATGTAGAGCCGTGTCCATGTAGAAATTTCCATCCGCCTAAGAGTGGGATAGAGCATTCATCACTGCCTCGATGTCCGTAGGAGCGTAGCTACTATATGGAGATACTGGACTGAACGGAGCTGTTGCAGTATAGGCTTAAGGACGTGAGCCTA